TAAATCACAAAACAAAATTTTTGGCTTGGTATTAAGCACCACATGACCATTATCTTGTTGCCATGGTGCAAATGTTGTATCTGTAAAATACTTGCAGTTGAAGACAAACCAAATACTTAAAATATAACATTATTGTTAACAAAGTATTATTCATAAAACTCTTTTTATCTTACTTGCATTAATAGCTCCTAACCGAGCTGTAGTATTTAATTTTTCAGAAAACACAATTTTGCTATTTGTTGAACATTGACAATGAACTTGTGCACTGGCCCATGCAAGACTTTCAAAAATGTCACTAAAATCATTGTGTATTTTATGTAAATCAGTTTAACTATTTTATAAAAAATAGATTATTTATATACCTATGACTTTGAGATATTTGATGACTTGGATTTGGTGGATTACTGAACGTGACTAAACATTCTATGATTTCCCCAGAAAAATATACAGGACCCCTAATTAATTTTGCTGTTATCTCAATCATAATTTTTATTATAATTATTTCTTTATAATCTTACTAATTTCAATTAATATTCTTTTCTTCATTACATTTCACAAATAATGTTTTTGGTTGTTTCAACTGTTAAAATAAAATAGTAAATTATTCATCTGTTTAGTTGTATGCAAGTACTTATAATATTAATGAATAATATTTATATAATTATAAATACTTTATATTTGTTAATAATTCTGAATAATTAAGACTAATTGTATTATATATGTGTATATAGAAGAACTCGTTTAATAAGCATCACATATTATATATTTATAATATTCATTTAATTCAAAATTAGAGTAAACCATATTAGTAATGGTAACACACGAAAAGATGCAATGGATTCTTATTTTATAAATTTATAACTATATTGTAATAAGTTTAATTAAAAATTCCAAATGGTTCTTTTATTCTTATAAGTAAAATGATTTGCTAAATACTTACATTTTCAAATAAATTGAAAATGTTCTTCAAAATAACAGTTGTCTCTTTTATTATTAAATCGATTATATATTGATTAGGCAATACACTACACAACACAATACATTTTATAGTCTATTTGCAGGATGTAAATAGAAGTGTAGGTGGTAAAATTTAAATATCGCGTAGAATATTTCTGGATTTATTATTAAGATTTAAAATTGAAACTAACCTAACAGAAACACCTGCTTCAAACATATCCTCTATTAGTTTATTAATTTCTTGTTTATTATTTATTTAAAGGAGTCAACTGTTAAAAAAGTTGATTAGATTTTCAATCCTTCGAATTCCATGTAAAAGGTACAGTCACATTACACTACTTTAATGGAAACAATATATTTTCGTAAACATAACTTTCTACTTTCGTGAATGCATCACAGTAAATATGTTAGTACACAATATATAAACTGCTTGTGCGCACTCAACGACGATTTTGTTTTTATTTTGCATTTTTCTTTCTTTTTCATTTATCTGTATTTTTATTATATTTTTTACTTTTAAAAATTTTCTCTCGTTATTAAATATTCTATATGTGACGGTAGTATCGTACGGCTATCATTTCTTAAAACATCATTGCTGGTCCGCGACCGAGACTTTAAACCTGTTCCCAATATGTTATACACTTTATTTTTTTCTTAAATTTAAAAAATTATTTTATATTTTCATACTTCATTTTTTAGAGGAAGTTTAGTAGAATATTTAAAGAGTTTTCAACCTAATTAAAAATTGGGAAAAATGATATATGTATTTAAAATTAAATATTTATCTTCAGATATGACATGTATTTATAATAGTAGCTTATTTAATGAATTTTTAATTTCTATTTTGTATAATAGTGATAACATACATCAATCAGATTTATAAATAAATTTTATAGTAAATTTTAAATTCATGAAATTTTTGCCTTGGAAATACATTAAAAATTAAATAAAAGTTTTTTTTAATTTTGACGATTATTTAAAATAAATAAAAATAAGACAACATTATTGGTACAGCTACTTGTTTTGGAAATGTGAATACTCTGTTTATGAATAAAGTATTGAGTGGGACATTGAGCGAGGGGGCGTGATAATTGAGGACAGTATACTATTGGGATACCAATAAACGTAACAAACAAACCAATGGATAATGTTAAAACGCATACATAATTATAACATTCCATATTATTACGAACTTGTTTAAAAAGGAAAAGTCTTGTATGCATTTTTAGCTGACCAACTGCTTACTCAATAAGGAAACCAGTACCTACTATAACGCGACTCCAGAATAAACGCGTTCTATTATGCAGCCGTCGAAATCACCGCAAATGAGCTAAATATAATCGTTTGTCTCATACATTGTTGAATGACATGACATGTTGAAAACAGTACTAACATCCGATACTTTTATTACATTAAACAAAATTTAACGTTATTAAATTGATAAACAATTTAGATCATATTAAATATTTATTAAAACTATAGTGATATATAATGTACAAAACAAAATATGAATTTTTTCATGTAAAAATTGAATATTTATTCATTTATTATAAATTAAGTAACACACTTGTTATACTCGTGACATTATCTGAAATTGATAATGACATATTTAAACTGATTATGAAATTTTATGAAGGTTATTTTTGCTGATAAAAATACAAAATGTTGACTTGGCATCTCTTACATAATTGATAGATTATTATTTGTTAATTGCATAAAAATTAAATCTTCAACAATTTTTAATAAAAAGAATGATTAAATGGAATAACCCATAAATGCCTTTTTCCAAACTAGGATAAGAGAACATAATTTTTAATAAGACACACAGCTTGCAAGAATATTCTATGAATGATGGATGCACTATAATTTTAATAGAATTTTAGTCCAAGGATGATGATGTCTGCTATGAACTAGTATAGGCAATGTATGCATTGAAATGTACTTGTAAAATGAAATTCATATAGACAAACTGGCAGTGTATGCTTATGGTACCCCACTGGCTTGTTACTTCTATAACGGTAAAAGCGTGACAGATATAGTAGAAGCAAAACGGACTGGAGGAAGGGAAACCTACACTATTCAATTTCTTGAAGCCATGATCGGTAGTGCTTGTTAGTATTCTCTGAATTGTTAGTTTGGAAGCGTTGCAATTCCGTTGTTACATTTCTTCGTGAAGTTTTCTTAAGAAATACATACTCGCGGTTGCATGCAACCTGCGAGGTTGATATTTGACATCTTTAAACAGATTCGATCAGGTGAGTCATCTTTTCATGAATTTCTTCTTTATGAAATAACGCGATCTCGTACAGTGGACAAAATTTAAGTTACAAATTTATTAATTTATTATTTATATTAAACGAAAGTTTGATAATAACAAAATTGAACATAGCAAAAATACATTTTCTATAATAAATTGATTATGAATAATTAATACCGTATGAGTTTACAGTTAAAATACGAAAGTCGGTACGAGTGATGATAGTAAATCGGGTTTCGAGGACTTGCAGGATGTAAGATTCTGTCGTACTACTTTCTAATTAACGAGAAAATTCCGCTGATCAAACGATTTAAGAAGATATCATTTAATGTTTCCATTTATTACATAAATAACATTTAGATTTATGTGCCATAAAAGGAAATGTTTCTTTTATCAAAGAATAAAAAATTTTCTTCCGTGTTATTGGACTTTCTAATTTGTTACGGTGAACACTGACAAAATCTAAATACAATAATTTTATGACAGTTATGTATTGTGATCATTGATTATCAAATATGACGAGACATCTAAATTTGGAATTTCCCACGTTTCTATCACGTCATCATAAAAACACATGACACATGTTACTGGAAGATACATACATGTTGATGGAAAAACCAGTTTTATAATTTAAGATTATACAGTAATTTCGTTCGATGATACGCGCTAAGCTTATATCATAAATTCTGTATTGCTATAATGTTATTTTAAACGTCTAGTGAATAATAATTCTTCACCGGATAAATGTTAATCAGTAGGTAATGATTGTTTATTAGTAATTTGATTAATAATTCTTTATTAAAAATAAATATTTTTATGTGCGAATGTCAGTGTATATTTTCAATCTAAATTAATTAAATTAATATAATTTTACAGAACGAATAAAAATGAGTTTCCTTTGGTTCTTTTTTTTCCTGTGCTACATATCTGCAAATATACAAGCTGAACCGTATGTACACATAGTATATATACATATACATAATTAATTAATGTTTATTAATTAATATTTAAATTCACAAATATTATAGTGTAATATTCAAGATTATTAAAAAAAAACAACTTTTTTAATGATTACAACAGGTATTATAGTATAATTGCGCCAAAAGTGGTTCGACCTGATTCAGAATACCATGTAGCAGTAAGCACAACTGGTATCTCAACAACATCAGTAATATATATCGAATTAAATGGCCAGCTGGATAATGGACATACATACAATGTATCCCAAATTATAGAAGTACAACCTTATTCTACAAGAATTTTAAAGCTTGAGGTACATTTAATTGAATAATTTTCCTTTGCAAACAACACAATTCCTATTCTCTAGTTGTTTTTATAATATTTCAGATTGGAGATATTGTACCTGGAAAATATAAAATACTTGCACGTGGTCTATCAGGAATTGATTTTTCAAATGAAAAACCAATCACATACATTCATAAGAGTTACACAGTTCTTATTCAGACTGATAGAGCAATTTACAAACCAGGGAATAAAGTTATGTTTAGATGCATTTTATTGAATTCAAGACTTAGACCTACTCTTGCTAGATTAATAGATATTTACATTACGGTAAATATTTTTGGATTAATGTTACATAATACATTAAATAAATGACAAAATTATTATATACAATGTATAAAATTTATATAGGATGGAAAAGGAAACAGAATTAAACAATGGGTTCGCCCTCCTGTAACGCATGGAATATTTAATGGAGAAATTGAATTATCAGAATCACCTGTGTTAGGTACTTGGAAAATTACTGCTAATATTGGTGATCAAATATTCGACAAAGAGTTCGAAGTTGCTGAGTATGTTCTTCCTAATTTTGAAGTTAACATAGTTGCTCCCAAACATTTTACATTTAAAGACTCAAAAATTACTGCAACAGTATATGCAAAGTAAGTGAATCCTAACATTATATTAAAACTATATATATTGCATATTTATTTCTGTGCCATTTGGAGAATTTCTCCACTTCACAATCGTAACTAGTAATTTAATGTTATCTAATATTCATTTGTATTACTTTCATAAAAAATTTAACAAAAATTATTCATTTTAAAATCCAAATTATTTAGGTATACTTATGGCAAGCCAGTGAAGGGTGAGGCAACGATTACCGTTTATCCTGATATCTTTTCGGGCGTTATTCAACCAATTTATCAACAGCCTGTGCGGAAAGTGATACCTATTGATGGAAAAGCAGTAATTAGTTTTGATATTGAATCTGAACTTAAGTATGTGAAAAGAAAAATATATTTCCAACAGTTTCCTGAAAATTGAGTTATCTAGTACACAACGTATATTTTTCATAGACTATCTGGTGATTATGAAAGACCAGTTATAATTGACGTTGCAGTGGAAGAATCTTTAACTGGTAGACGACAAAATACTTCTATGCAAGTAACGCTACACAGGCATAAATACACAATGGATTTAATAAAAACATCAGAGTATTATAAACCTGGTTTAAAGTATACAGCCTTTGTATGTACATGAAGTTATAGTCATTATATAATTTTATATTTATTATTGTATTATAACAGACAACTTTTACAGATAAAACTGGCATACCATGATGGATCACCAGTTCAAGATAACAAAAATCCTGTTACAATAATGTATGGATACACTTATAATCAGTCTGCATATACTATTATTAGTAAAATCCTAGACAAAAATGGTATGGTGCAACTGGATTTTTATCCATCAAAAAATAATGATAATATGTCATTTCCATTAAATATTGAGGTAAAATATTATGACATATTCAATGTTGCAGCGAATAAATGATAATAATTGTTGAACATTTAAAACAAATTTTTATTTAACAGGCACAATACCTGAGTCTCCATGAATGGTTTCCATCGACAAATCAAGCTATGTCCAAAAACAATGAATATATACAAGCCATTCTGAAAACTGAAAATCCTACTGTCTGTATAATTGTGTATTACATGAAAACCATTAATATTCAATCAGTATTAATTATGATATTTTTTTCAGGTTAATCAAGAGATTGAAATTGAAGTGAACTCTACGATTCCGTTAAAATACATTAATTATGAAATATTCGGACGTGGCGATATATTAGACGCTGGTTCTATATATGTACAAAACAAATACACAACAACTTTTAAGTGAGTATTTATTAATTTCTAATTTAATCTGTTCGTTAGTCATTTTAAATATGTGAAATAATTTGTATTAAATACTTAATAATCTTTCAGATTTCTGGCAACATATGTTATGGCTCCTACTGTGCATGTAATTGTATACTATGTAGGAAGTGATGGAGAAGTAATTGCTGATGCTTTGGATATAGAATTAGAAGGAGTGCTTCAAAACTTTGTAAATTGATTTTATAATCAATTACTATAATAAAAATGTTAATTAGGGATTCACGGGAATTTTCTTTATCTTTTATTTAAGGTGGATATTAAAGTGGCACCCGAAGAAGTTGGACCAGGAGAAAATGTTAATTTAATCATTACTTCAAAACCAAATTCATTTGTTGGATTATTAGGTGTGGATCAAAGATCTATTTTACTTAAATCTGGCAATGATATTTCACATGTACGTATTTTTTTGTTACTTTAAATCTTGTTATAGTTTCAATAGTAATAGTAATATACTTCAATAATTTATAGGAACAAGTATATAAAGAGTTAAAATCATATGACATGATAGAAGATTCGCCATATGTGGATTCAGTTTTCGATCGATACCTTTGGAGTCGTGGATCAGCTTCAGCAAGTGATGTTTTCAGCGTATGCAGAACTCATTTTATGTGCATTATTATATATTTATGTACATGCATTACGAATATTAATTTAAGCATTTTGTTTCTTAGGAAAGTGGTGCTATTATTATGACAAATGGATATATTCACGAAAATTTCCCAATTCGTAAGTAAACTTTAGAAAATTCCTACATGGTTTATCAAATTAGTAACTAATATTACTTTACCCGTCCTATTATACGTGATCCTAAATATTTTTCTAATTTGGTAATAAATTGGTTAAAAATTTTTTTACTTCTTTGTAATGTAGCATGAGAGTAATATCCTTCAGTTCAGCATTTCATATAATACTTACAATTAAATCTTTAGCTGATCCGAAAACGTATGTATCATTTAACAAGGCTTATGTCTGTATAGTATACTACAGGTCTGGTTTAGAGCTCTCCTTTCCAGCCGCTGCTGGAAGTCCAATTGCATTCAAATCATCAGAGAAGATGAAAGTACGCAAGAATTTTCCTGAAACTTGGCTTTGGCAAATGCTTGATGTTGGGTAAAGCCATTGAAATTTTTACCTGCTGATAATACTTATTAATTTGTAATTTGTTAAGTAAATTATAAAATTCTATTAACATTACGTTATTAACTAACTGAAATCACTCAAACATATATTTCACTTAATTAAAATTAACTATAGATATAGATGGGGAATATGTATTTAATAAGACATTTCATATAACTGAATCTACAAGGTGATGGTTTAAATTAAAACTCATTTTTTCATTCTGCAATTTACTCTGCCAATAACACTTTGCTAGTATTTCCATGTTCTGATACTTCAGATTACATATACTATATAGAAATCACAAAATAAGTTCCTCTTGTAAATGTGTGTTTGAACAGAATTTAATGAAACATTTATTTTTGTAGTAGCGTTATACTTTTATTTTCTTTTGGCTCCGCTGATATAATACAATATATAGAATTGGATTCCAGGACAACCGGGAATATTGGAAGGTAGAATAACAGGCTCGCCTCATGGTGCATCTACACTCCGGCCAGACATTGGTCCACCTGTTACGCACAAACTAGCAACAAGACCACCATTGGCAGGTCCTTATGCCTTCTCTCGCATCCCAACTCCTGTCTGGAATAAGCCCCGTGTATTCCTAATGCATGACATCTTAAACACCTGGCTTTTTACAAACTTCTCTTCAGGGTATTTATGTTATATACTGTCAGTTTACAAAGCTTCATATATATGCTTTGTATACATATATACTTTAGAGAAACAACATTCGTGTAATGTCGCTTTGTGTTGTATAAAACATTTCTTTGTAAATCAAAGCTATGGGATGTTCTCGGTGTTCGTATATGACTGCTATACATTTACTTGTTTAATATTATACTTTCAATCATTCATTCATTTCATATTATATAAAGTGAATTGTCCAGTTCTAATAAGGTGATTGAGTCTTTGTAAAATACGACTATTATAAAGCATCGATCAAACTATATATTTGTCACAAATTGTAATGCTTCTATATATACATAAAAAAAATGGTTAAACAAAGAGTAATTATATGATTTAAAATTAGGTATGATGGAAAGAATGAACTGAAAAGAAGTGTACCTGATTCTATTACATCATGGGTATTGACAGCATTTTCTGTGAATGATGTTCATGGATTGGGACTAATAAAAGAACCAAGGAAGGTAAATGTGGATTAGTAGTCCAACTAATATAAAATTTTATATACCATAGAAAATAATAAAAGAAGTTGATTTCTTTTCAGCTAAAAGTTTTCAGACCATTTTTCATTGTTATGGATCTTCCTTATTCTGTGATTCGAGGAGAAATTGTTGCGATACAAATTGTAGTTTTCAATTACATGAATAAGGCTGTAGAAGCAGAAGTATTATTGACGCATGAAGGTCAATTTGATTTTGCGGAAATTTCTAATGATGTGCACGATGTACCAAGTAAGATATAACAAAAAAATGTTACAATTTATGATATTTTATATAATATATATTACAGAATGAACATAATATTGATTACATATTTCAGAATTGGAATTGTACCGTAAAAAGAAAGTCGAGGTAAAGGCTAATTCTGGTTCCAGTGTTTCATTTATGATCATTCCAAGAGATTTGGGTTACATTACAATTAAAGCAACTGCAAATAGCATATTAGCTGGTGACAGTGTTGAACATAAACTACTTGTAAAAGTAATATTTCTTCTGTATCTTCTTTGCTTATAACTTATTGAATATGTAATCTAATATTTTATTGTAATACATATGTACAGGCAGAAGGAGAAACACAATTCATTAACAAAGCTGCTTTCTTAGACCTTAGAAGTTCATCTAGTGCAATGACCAATTTCACAATAGATATACCTAAAAACGCTGTACAAGGTTCTGAACATATTGAAATATCTGCAGTAGGTAATGTTCTGCGAATACAATTTTCTACTTTACTTAATTTAATGTAATCAATATGTTTTTGTTATAAACTCTTGACTATTAACATACATTTTTATTAGGTGATATTTTGGGCCCTAGCATTCTAAATCTAGCAAACTTAATTAGAATGCCTTCTGGTTGTGGAGAACAGAATATGTTAAATTTTGTTCCAAATATAATGATATTAAATTATCTAAAAGTAAGTACACAGTATATCGTTTTTAATATAGTGCATTGGAACAATGTAAAAACATTTATAAAAATAGTTTAGAAAATTGTTTATCTACCTACAACAAGTGTTTGAAATGTTGACTTTAGAAAAAATTGACTAACTTTCAGATATATAAGAATAGTTTGTAATTTTTTACCAATTAATTTTGTCATTTTTGTGAGAAAAAAATGTGTCCAAACATTTCATTACTCATTTCATTACTGCGAATAAAGCACACATGTCTCATATATTCTTAAAAACAAAATAAGTTAGCGTGAAATAGACAAAATCAATTAAACATATAAATATACATTTACAGAATACAAATCAGTTAACACAAGCAGTACAAGGTAAAGCTTTAAGATATATGGAAATAGGTTACCAAAGAGAGTTGACTTACAGACATGATGATGGATCATTTAGTGCATTTGGCTCGTCTGATACTAGTGGAAGTACATGGTATGTAGTATAAAAATGTTAAGTTATTAAACTCATAAATATTGTAATACCAGAAATTTCATTAGAATTTTATATTCTGTTAGGCTCACTGCTTTTGTAGCCAAAGCGTTCAAGCAAGCTATGGAACATATTTTAATTGAAGGTAGGATAATAGATGAAGCTTTGCAATGGTTATCAAATAATCAAGCTCCAAATGGAAGCTTTCCGGAAGTAGGAAAAGTTAGTCATCGTGATATGCAAGGTGGAGCTGCAAAAGGTCTTGCACTCACAGCATTCACTCTTATTGCTTTTCTGGAAAATGATGTAAGTTTATTAACTCTATCTGTGCTATAAAACTTATCAACCAAATATTTATCTTATTTTAATGGAACATTAGGATTCTAATGGAAAACATAGAAACACAATAAACAAAGGAATTGATTACATTGTCCGTAATGTGAATGATCTAAATGATATCTATGCTTTGAGTATTTGCACATATGTTTTAAATTTGGCAAAGCATCCATATGAGAATGCTGCATTTAATTTACTAGAATCCAAAGCTATGATGAAAGGAGACCTTAAATGGTGGAATAAACCTGTACCTAAAGACGATAAAAATCCATGGTATTCTCTACCACGGTCTGTTGACGTAGAAATGACATCCTATGCTTTATTAACTTATCTCAGACGTAATCTAGTCTCTGATTCGATACCTCTAATGAAATGGCTTGTAAAACAAAGAAACGCTGAAGGTGGTTTTTCATCCACACAGGTAAATATTATAAAAGCATTCAGTGTACAATGTAAGTACAATGTAATTGTATTCAAGTAATGTTTTTGTAACAAATCTGTAGGACACTGTGATTGGAATACAAGCATTGGCAAAATTAGGTGAGAAACTAGCATCAAAGAATAATGCTATTTCAATAACATTTATGTACGAGGGAGGTGGACAAAGTCAAATGAATATAAATTCTGATAATTCTATGATACTCCAAAAGCATATAGTAAGTTTAAATCACAAATATCATAATTTAAATTTACTTTAAATACTTGACACTTTCTTTAGCTTCCTAGGAAAACGCGACTCGTTAACGTCACAGGTACTGGAAGTGGATTTGCCTTAGTTCAAATTTCATTCCAATATAATTTAAATGTAACTGGAGCTTGGCCACTTTTTACTTTGGATCCCCAGGTCGACAAAAATTCCAATGCCAATCATTTACAGCTTTCAATTTGTTCTGGGTATATAATAAAACATTCTATATTTTATGAATATTGCACAAAACAGACTTAATGTAATGCGTGCTTAAACAGGTTTGTACCAACGAAAGAAGCGAACCAAAGTAATATGGTTGTGATGGAAGTTAGTCTACCATCTGGTTTCACTGCTGATAGAGATTCGCTGCCAAGTCTTGAAGTTTCGCAAAATGTAAAACGCGTAGAAACTAAAGACGGAGATACAGTAGTAATATTATATTTTGACGAGGTATGGAAAGTGTATTACCTTGTTAAATTTAAAACCACATTTAAAATAAACAATGCTTTTCAGATGGACAGGCAAGAATATTGTCCCACAGTATCTGCATTTAGAACACACAAAGTAGCTAAACAAAAACCTGTACCAGTTACTATATATGATTATTATGATTCCTGTAAGTTACTAAATAAGTTTAATTTACAATACAGTAGGATCCCCTATAACGTGATAATAAAATCGGTCAAAAAATAACTATGAAAGTGAGATTTTCCCATAAGAAACTATTACAATCAAAGGACCAACTTAATACAAGTTGTACCGATATCCAAAAAAGAAATTTCACGCAAAATTCGTAAATACGAAACCTTGTAACACGGAATGTTCTAATTGCGTTATACGGAGTTCTAGTGTGTATACAACAATGTTAAATATTATAGAAAGATTTAAAGAAAATAATTGTTTCTCTAATTCTTAAATGTAATTTTTTCTTATGTTTAGCAAGAAAAGCAAGAGCATTTTATGAACCAAGGAAAGCAACACTTTGTGACTTATGCAAAGAAGAAGACTGTGAAGATTTATGTGTATCACAACTTGGTAAACAAGAGGATTCATCTCAGTCTGCTACATCACACCTATCTGCCTGTGTATACTTACAGTCATTACTTATGCTGTTCTCCGTTGTATATTTTAAATATTTGTAGCTATCATGTAGCAGAAACAGTTTATAGTTCTGTTAAAAAGTACAATGATAAGGCTTTGAGTATACATGCAACCAAAGTACATCACATATGAAAGTTAATGTACTCCAATTGTAAAGTAATAACATGGTTATATGTGAGCTTTAAACTACTACTTTGAACTGGATATTTAAAATTTCGTATTGAATACTACTTACATGTAGGTGAAAATACCTTACATAACAAATTAAATGAACAAATTTTTGTTATTGATACTTTATGTTATAGTAAATACATTGCATTGTTACTGAGTAAGTCATTATTTGTTTAGTTATAATTAATATTATAAAAAAACTAATAGACATGAAAGATTAGCCTCAAACAAATAAAAGACTAGTTTCATATACCATTACCCATTAATTCGGAAAAAGTAAGTACATCTTTACCGTGAAACTTACATAACCTTATCGAGTCAACGAAATCGTCACTCTTAACAGTGTGCATATACTCATGAGTACTATATTTATTAACATTACTTCTATTGACACCTATGGAATAACATCTACCAACTACGTAAAGTATAAAAATACATTAAATACTATAAAGTGAAGGCAAGTGCATAAACGGCGTAATAGAATTGTAAGATACAGTATAACCTTGAAATCTAAATAATGATTTTTAATTATATACGTAACTGATAAAAAAATAATGGATAAAGTTTTAATGCAAACCTTACAAATTAGTCGGCGTTTAGTACACAAATCCTTATTAACATATCAATGTTCAAAGTAAGTTGACAATAAGGTCTAAAATGGTTATAACACATATAAATATGTTATTTAATACTAATAATATTTTCATAATTATAGAATTTTAGAAAAATCTAAACTAAATATGCATACTCTTGGCAATACTCACATTCTACAGCCACGTCTACTTTCTGTCACAAAACAATTTGATGTCAATAATATGCAAAGACGTAAAATGTTTATTCAAACACAAGACACTCCAAACCCTAATAGTTTAAAATTCTTACCTGGAATTAAAGTGCTTGAACAGGGTCAAACAAAAGATTTTCCTAATGCTACTACAGCATACAATTCACCACTTGCAAAATTGTTATTTCGCATTGAAGGTGTAAAATCTGTTTTCTTTGGACCTGATTTTATTACAATTACAAAAACGGATGAGGATGTTGAATGGAAGTTATTAAAACCAGAAATATTTGCTGTCATTATGGATTTTTTTGCATCTAATTTACCTGTGTTAAATGATGATCAATCAGCACCAGATACTCGTAATTTCTTTTACTTTTCATTTATAGTATACTATCATGTTACTATTGTCTTTTTTATATATTAAAATTTTATGTTCAGAAATCACAGATGACGATGATGAAATAGTGCAAATGATAAAAGAATTATTAGATACTCGAATACGGCCAACAGTTCAAGAAGATGGTGGTGATATTGTCTTCATGGTTTGTATTTATATACGAAAATTATATATTACTTACCAGTCTCTATTTTCTTTAAATTATATTTATTATGTTCCTAATCATAGGGATTTGAGGAAGGAATAGTGAAATTAAAAATGCAAGGTTCTTGCACAAGTTGTCCAAGTTCTGTGGTCACACTGAGAAATGGAGTTCAAAATATGATGCAGTTCTACATCCCGGAAGTTCTTGGAGTAATTCAAGTAGAAGATGAAACTGATAAAATTGCGAATAAAGAATTTGAGAAGTTCGAAGAAAAAATTAAAAAATCTGAACAGAATGAAGAAAAATAGAATAGAAGTTGTAGTTCGGTAATCATCAAAAAATTTGTATGTGAATAAAATCGAATATTCACATTTAATATCTTTTTCCTTTTTTATTGTTTTACTTTTGTAAAAAGACCTTAACGGCTAGATACAGAAACTTGCCATACACGTATAGTGTTGTCGGAATATCCAGCGAATAGTGTTTGCCCGTCAGTAGACCACGCTAAAGAAAGGCAGTGAGGTGGTTCTGCTTTACTTGTTGCAGACACAACTTCCGGTTTCAATTCTTCAACCATTTCTTTGGTTTCCAAATCCCAGATTTTAATCCATGGCCCGAACGCAGCGCAAAGCCAATATCGATTAGGGCTAAAGCACAGAGCCGTTATAATGTCATTATGATCTAACGTGTGAAGATGTTTTCCATCATTCAAGTCCCATAACATAGCTTTACAGTCCTATAATTTTGAAATAAAAAATTTTATTACATCAAATATTATAAGATTTCCTTTTAATACATACCTTGCCACCAGAAGCGCAAAGTGAACCATCAGGGGACACGGTAACAGTGTTAAGATATGCAGTGTGTCCACTATGATTAATCTTCAACCTGCAGTTTGTCAAGTTCCAGACCTAAAAAAACATGTTAGCTTGAAATATGATTACTTAATAGTAATTTTATTAAATGATTTACAATTAATTAAATCAGTCCCATATCCGCATACACTCATGAACATCATGATTATTAAAAGTATACATCATGTTAAAATACTTCAATTAATGTGTAACAATTATTTATCAAATTTTCCAATAAGTTATATTTTATATTAACAAAACGAAAATAACATACCTTTACCAATTTATCCCAACCTGCCGAAACGATAATTGGATTTGAATGGTTTGGTGAAAAACGTACACAACTGACCCAATCTGTGTGTCCATCATCTTGAATAGTGTATTTACACTCTGCCAAAGTGTTCCATAGCTTAATAGTCTTATCACGAGAACCAGAAACAATTTGACGATTGTCCACAGAGAAGGCCACGCTTAAAACATCCTGTTAACATATATTTATTTACGAGAATGAATTAAATTAATTCAATTTTCATCTGTGAATATATTAGACAAGGTAAATACTTACAATACCACAGA